GGAAGTTATGTATCGTAATAGAGTATAGTCCTAAGGGGACGGGTGGATTATACAACAGAATGTCCTTTATTCCTCCTAGTCTTCACAGGAATTAGTTCACGAATCATGGAGATGGATCTACTAGCATACACTTTATTTTTAGTCTGATCAGTATTTTTACACTTGGGTATAACTGTTCTAGGGATTTTCCCTATTTAAGGGATGTACCCTTCTTGATTGACTTTCAGTCAGTTCACTAACTTTGTAATAGCACTATCATCCACCTCTCGGTTTGGTTTACTAGCATTTGGGTGGTGTTTTCCGGCATACGTGTCCTATTGCCCACACAGGAAGTGACAACACCAGCGCCATTTTATGATGCCGGTGGGTGAGCTCCTGTGGGAGTATATATTGGCCAGTCCTAGGCTTCATTTCCTCTTCTTCTGACCATGTTTCATGTCCTTGATAGTGGCAGTGGTGATTGAAAATCTTCTTGATATGCTAATGGTTTAATAGCCTGTTCCTTATGGTATGTATACATTATTCCATCTCAGGGGCGGACTGACCATTTGGAAACTCGGGTACTGCCCAAGGGCCCGGGGTCAGTAGGGTGCCCCATGAGATGCCCCTGGTACCTTTTTCATAGGCTTTTTTTGAGTTTGGTCAAGGACACAGGGGCCCCATGATCCCCTATTGCCTGGGGGCCCCATGAGTTGTCAGTCCGCTCCTGTTCCATCTTGTATGTATATCTTAGTATTTGCCCCTGGGGTTTGATGGCTATCACAGATTTTTCATATTAGATTAAGGTCAAGTTCCTTAAGGAGATATTACAAATGAATATGGTGTATATATTGGTAATTAACTCCAGAGATTGGGTGCAAGTGCTGTTACATAGTATCTGTGTTTGTAATTACAAAATAAATTATAACAATGTGTGCTGCGCCCTTTAAGTAAATAGTATGTGTCTATATATAACAAAATGTGCATGATGAACTGCTTATAGCATTCATTAAATTCATTCATTCATTAAATTGCTTAGTGGTGAAAAAAAATTCTCAAAGAAAATTTTATATCAATCAATATAAACCAACTTTAGTATATCAAAGTAGTGATTAAAAAATTATGCATATAAATGTTAAATTCATAAGTGAGTTCAATCAGATGTGAATCCCATCATACTTGCGGTTTGCTCAATATATTGTAAACAGTTGCTCATACAATCCAGATAGTTTGTGCTAAAAGGAATATTAGACCAAAAAACGTGGGTTTACTCTGGTATGTTTCCTTTGTAGAAAGCAGACTGGATAGTTCACCTCCTTACTCCTGGTAATGCTGTTATGAGTGAATCCAGGATATGGGTCCTCCCATCAATGGGCTCTATATGTTCTCTCCCTATTGCTCCAGGTATATACCGGGGAGAGAGAAAGAGAGATAGTGCCCTGAGGGGCACTGACGTCACCACGCACCCGACTCCTCGGAACGGCGAGTACAGGCAGTGTGTGTCTGCACGCCTTTCAGGCTGGACACATTTCTTTTAAAAAAAAGCGCTGAATGATTTTAAATCTTGTGAGTGCAACATTGGCACAAATAAATATATATCAAAGATAAGGCACTATCTCTTTCTTTCTTCTCTCCCCGGTATATACCTGGAGCAATAGGGAGAGAACATATAGAGCCCATTGAAGAGAGGACCCATATCCTGGATTCACTCATAACAGCATTACCAGGAGTAAGGAGGTGAACTATCCAGTCTGCTGCTTTCTACAAAGGAACATACCAGAGTAAACCCACGTTTTTTGGTCTAATATTCCTTTAGCACAAACTATCTGAATTGGATGAGCAACTGTTTACAGTATATTGAGCAAACCGCAAGCATGATGGGATTCACATCTGATTGAACTCACTTATGAATTGGACATTTATATGCATAATTTTTAATCACTACTTTGATAATAATGTTGGTTTATATTGATTGATATAAAATTTTCTTTGAGAATTTTTTTCACCACTAAGCAATTTAATGAATTGCTATAAGCAGTTCATCATGCACATTTTGTATATATAGACACATATTTACTTAAAGGGCGTGGCACCATTGTTATACTTTATTTATTATTATTATACATATATATGAGGATGTAAAGAGGAGCTAGCGAACTTATCTCTTATTTTACATTTTAACTCCCAGTGGCTCACAGGTAACTTTATTGCTGTGTTTGTTATTATGCTGCTGTGTGGGCAGCACAAAATGGCAGTGCTGTTTTCAAAAAGTGCCCACTAGTACGGGGAAACTTCTCCCCATATTGCTGTCACAGGGAGGGGGGAATCAGGCAGTGGCTGCTGCAGTGGGAACATGTTACATGTTCCACCCTAAAACTGAAGGGAACATGTAACATATTCTCAAAGGTGATTTTATCCTTTAAGATCCATACCAAACACAGTTACATTTTAAATTGCCGGCAAATAAAAAAGAAATCAGACCCCTCCAAAGGTCCCCCATAATACATAGCAGACCCTTAGTCTGGTATGTATTGTGGGGGACCTTTGGAGTCTGTAAGCAATTTTATTAAAGAAATCAGGACGGAGATGTAATTTGCTGGTACTTTGAACATTTTTTTCTTTATATTTTTTTTTTTATTGGCCACATGGAATTAAAAAAAAAATGCATTGCTATATGCTCCCCAGGGCGGTGCCCACCCTCATGCTATATTTTGACACCACCCTTTCCTAATCGCCCAGAAAAGTAGCATATTTAATTTGACAGATTCAGCTTCCATTGATTTTAGTGGGGTTTGGGTTCAGCATCCGAACTTCTTTAAAGTTATCTGAACCCTGCTCAAACCAAACCCAGGGCAGTTTTCTTCATCACAAATTATGACTAAATTGTATTAATTCAAAGGATGAGTTCACCTTTCTTAACATGTTACACCTATATTGTGTAACATGTTATGATCTGACCGACGATACGCGGTTTGACAGCTCGTGGGGGATCTTCTCTCCCCCCCTCCCCACTAGCAGTTAAATTTAGAAAAAAACATGGCTCCACCTGCCCCGGCCTCGGTCACTCATTCACAGCATTCAGTGAATGAGGGACTACAAGTACGGTTGCTGTAGTAGTTCATTGATTCTTCCTGTCAGTATATCTGCTTGCTTGTACATCCCATATGAGCAAGCAGATATTCTGACAGGTCTGCAGGAGACCTGAAAGGCACCAGCGATCTGCTGATCGCTGGTGCAATGCTTTAATGGCTCCTGCAGACAAAAATAATAAATGCACATTTTTTTTTTTACCTGCAAATTGTTATTTTTTTTACTGAAAGATGAACTTATCCTTTAATTACACCACCCCTTCCTCATTCGGTTCTGTTGTCCTAGGACTAAAACATGGTAACCCTAGTGCTGGTAGACAATATCTGTCATTTCTGTACCTCGTACCAGCTCAGATATATAAGCAAGCCCCCTACATTTCAACACCGGGCAATTGGGGGATGCATTAGCATTTGCACTTATTGTGCCAGAGGACCTTGAGCTCTCACTGCACTTCAGCTCGCAGTTTCAATAAAGTTAAGCACAACTGGAAGATAGATACAGTAAGTGGAAACATAGATAGTAACTGTAGGGTTAGGCCCCCAGTTTTGAGAACGACATCTTTCTGGGTGGCAGAATAATGGCAAAATGTGACAAATGGGACCCTCAAGGAAATTTACAGTATGTGCTTGGAGTTACAGTTTCTAAAAGACTTCTGAAATTTTTCGATAGATAGATAGATAGATAGATAGATAGATAGATATATCACTTTTGCTGAGGTGGCAAAGCATTCAAGTAACATGTCAAGGTGGCTGCAATTTTAATTATATATAATTATGTATTTATCTTATTTTGACTTTTTGATAGCAAGACGGTAAAGACTGAGCCTTTGACACCAAACATTTCCATGTACATAATCTCTGTTCCCGTTTAGAGGATTTCCTCCCTGCTCCCCAGCAGATAAACAGACTTTTGATGTCTCTTGCATGCTCAGAATGTGGATGGCACATCGTGAATGGCCACAGCTGTTTGTATGAGTAGGTCTTGGCCCAGCAAGTACATACTGATAATTTGTTTGCTCTCAAAATATTTAAATAACGGATGTCAGGAATGCATGGCATAGTGGAGAGGCTGTGTAGACTTGTGGAGTCTGTGCAGTTGTTTAATGCCCTTCTGTAATAAATTAAAAAACAGTTCCATAAACTTGCCCTCATAGGAAAACTAAATACAGTGAAAAAGATTATCCAGTGGGGATCAATAATTGTTTTATTTTCTCCAAATTGTGCTTATAATACATTTGAAAATCATCCTTCTTCATTATGTTAAACATGACCAAGTGCGCTGGAATATCAGTATGAATAATGTTTATACCCATTTTAGACCCAATACTAAACCTATTTTCAAACAGTTACTGGTAAATTATTTTATGCCTAAGCTCCTTAGCATAACTCATTACTATTTTCTTATAAGCCTTCCCACATGGGAAAAGAAGATACAAAGCATATCGCGTCCACACTACATGGACAGATATAATGCTTTAATACAAAGCTCTGTTCTGTCTGCATGGAGGGTTCACTTATGGTTAGAGGAATTGAAAAGTATACTGACAAATTGTACAGTATTTAACATAATGAGGTTTTACTAAAATACTAAGGTCTTTTAATGACAAATGTCTTTTAACTTGCGTGAAAAATATTGTAAGTTGGTTTTACATTGATCCTGTGCCAGCAGCATTTCTTTTTCCAGTTGGCTTAGTATTACTAAACTCACAACAGTAAAAGCAGTCTGTATATGCAGTAAAGCATGTTTGTTATACTCACTGTAGAGCGTAAGGGGTTAATCCTCTGCCTGTGTAAAAAGGATTTTGATTATGTCTCCTGTGATCCTTCTTCTACTGTCCCCAATCCATCTGCTGATAGAACAGAGCCTTGGGAGCAAGGTGCACATGCTCAGTTTGGTGTGTATTACTGAGTTGGTGAGCTTATTTTTCGTGGGAGAGTGCATGTGATCAGCACTGTCCAGGCAGAGGGTCAGGGGTCCTGCAGCCTCATGGGCAGGGGCGGACTAACCATTTGGAAACTTGGGCACTGCCGAGGGCCCGGGGTCAGTAGGGGGCGCCATGAGATGCCCCTGATACCTTTTTCATAGGCTTTTTTGAGTTTGGACAAGGACACAGGGGCCCCATGATCCCCTATTGCCCGGGGGCCCCATGAGTTGTCAGTCCACCCCTGCTCATAGGACAACCAGGCGAGAATGAAAACTCTTCCTACAAGCTTTAACCAGTGCTCAGCTGTACACTGATAGAAGTCACAAGACTGCTCTGACGTCTGATGAAAAAAGTTATTTAGGAGTTTATATTTAGTAAAATAATAGCATTTTCATGTTCTGTGTACTATGGGAGACCAGATATAGTGAATGTAGGGTCCTCGGTTTAGTAACACTTTAAAGAGAGCTTGTCAGGTCTCCAAACAATTAAAAGTATCAGTCCCTGCAATGAAAAAGTACAGTAGTATATTCATCTTTCTGGCTCACCTTCCTTTGGTTTTAGCACTGCAGCCTCCATTATTCTTTTTGGCATCTGAAAAGGAAGTGTTGTATGGCTGTGTCCCCTGCTTTGAACCTTGGTTATATTTTTCGATCCCCATAATACTGTTCTGTTCTGTAGTGATACACAAGTCGGAGAAAGACACCATACAACACATTTGGGGACACAGTCCTCCGAAACACTTGGAAGTGTCTAAAGATCTGACAGGGTATCTTTAAACTTTCTGCAGAGGTCTGACATGCTCACAGACCTGTAGCTTTGCAGTCAGTAGCGCTCTTGCTTCCTGCTGTTTAGAGATCTCTAACTAAGCAGGGGACCTGTCATACCTCTGCAGAGAGACCACTGCATTCACACAGAGCAATGATCCATCTATGCAGCATGCTGGCAGGGGACAAGCTTTTCCATACAGGATGTGGATGCTTTATATAGAAAAACAATACACATTTATTTTATGGAATGTATTTAGCTGGATAAAAGTTCACTTGGGCTTTAAAGTAAACTAGTCATGAAAAAAAGTCATGAGTAAAGAGTCATAAATGGGCAGCACAGTGGCTAAATGGTTCCGCCTGGCCGTACTAGGGTCAGGTCATTGGTTCAAATCCCAACCACGGCACCACCTGCCTGTAGTATGCATGTTCTCCCTGTGCCTGCGTGGGTTTCCTCCGGGGACTCCAGTTTCCCCCCCACACGCCAAAGACATGCTGGTAGATTAATTGGATCCTGTCTAAAATTGGCCCTAGTATGTATGAATGTAAGTTAGGGACTTTAGATTGTTCACCCCTTGAGGGTTAGGGACTGATGTGAATGTACAATATATATGACAGCGCTAAATAAGTACCTGAAATAATAAATGAAGATTTTTTTTACCTCTTTTGAAAAATTTGGCAGAAAGTAAGACCCCTTGTACACGATCAGTCTGATCGGGTCCGCCTGTCCATTTTTCAGATGGACCCGATTAGACCCTCCATTCTCCTCTATGGAGTGGCGGATGTAAAATGGACTTGGGTCTGTTTACACTTGCCTACCTCCGATCCAATCCACTAAAAACATACTGAAGGGGATCCGTTCCCCTCTGTCTGGGTGGACCGGATCGGAGGGCAGTCAGGTATAAATGGAAAGCCGGTCAGTTTACTGCCCATAGAGCAGAGTGGGCTGTGCCTGTGTCCGCTTTGCATAAGTGTAGCACACAAGGACCTGTCATCCTTCTACTCCGCTTTGCTTCAGCGGGGGATCAGTGGACAGATCCCTTGCTGAGCAAGTGGATTCCACCCCATGTGAAGGATCATATAGTGGCCTATAATTTTTAACAAATGATGAGATCAGAACTTTCTAACTTTACAATGACTTTCTTGATCTGCATACCTGTCCTTGTTAGCAACTCAGAAAGTACTAAAGCCAGGTCATAAACATTACAGCAAGGCAATGGATTTTACTTTATTTATTTTTATTTTATTTATTTATTGCAGGTACGTATATAGCGCCGTCAATTTATGCAGCGCTTTACACATACAGTATATTGTACATTCACATCAGTCTCTACCCACAAGGAGCTTACAATCTTAGGACCCTAACTCACATTCATACATACACACACTAGGGCCAATTTAGACATGAGTCAATTAACCTACCAGCATGTCTTTGGAGTGTGGGAGCAAACCGTAGTACCTGGAGGAAACCCATGCAGGCACAGGGAGAACATGCAAACTCCAGACAGGTATTGCCATGGTTGCTTTACTTTCATTTTGCAGTTTTCTCTTGAAGAGCATTGCACCCAGGGATATTCTGACATCACCTGCCAGATACTCTGTTGAGGAGGCTTCAGTGTCATGAGTCAGGGATGGATACAAAGAATCATGTCTGCTTCGTCAGCTGGCCAACTCCTACTGAGCTTATCATTGGTGGGTTAGGTTCAGCTTTGACCAAACAAAGGGAGAGGAGGATCCTCAACATTTCCTTTGCTAGGAAATGGGTGGTTGTTAGAGCAGGCAGTATTGCAAGCAGCTTTCGTGCTGACAGACAGCAAGTCTAAAGCTAATGTGAAAAAACACAACAATTGAGATATATATATATATATATATTTTTATAGGAGAGGGATTGTTCTGTCCAAGAGAGGGCTAAACATGTGACCATGTGGATGGTCCCCTAAGGTACCCAAAGTTCAAGAGAGTCGGTGGCACGGACATCTACTTTAGGTAATATATTAGCCATATCTGGACAAGGTAATTGGAAATAGACAGGTAAGGTGGATCATCCTCCCGGATGCTGTTAAGAGTTTATTTTTATTTCAAGCCATGCAACACATAACTAGATATAAGCAAATACAAATTCAAACATTTACACTATTTTTAGATCCTGCTGATATTTGATGGGCTTCCATATGGTGCTTTGCATGATCTTGTATCTTGTTTTATGTTTTCACCCCCTAGGTTGTGTTATCATACATACAGTAGGTTTCTTATAAAATCCTTGCAGAACATTTTTGCCATTTTCAAAGTGCACTGGAGCTTGAAGCCTTTCTTTTTTTGTGGTCTTAATAGTCTTCATCTGTCTCCGTGCTTTACATCACAGTACCAGTATGCAGTGCATCTGGGAGCTGTTACTAATACCTTTCACTTTCTCCTACCGGCACACAGTTGGTTATCTTGCCATTGCCATTCACACAGGTTTGAAACATGCATCAAAAGCACATCAGCAGATTCCTATTGACTTTGTACAATTAAACTGCAGGCAAAGCGAGTCAAATGCTGTCTTTTCTCCTCCAATGCCGTGTTTTGCTTTCAAACGCATGCATTTACGCAGCATTGTTTTTCAGTGGAAAAGGTTTTGTTTGACAAGAACACCCATCAACCAGGGGCAGACTGACCATTTGGAAACTAGGGCACTGCCCGAGGGCCCGGGGTCAGTAGGGGGCCCCATGAGATGACCCTGGTATCTTTTTCATAGGCTTTTTTGAATTTGGGCAAGGACACAGGGGCCCCATGATCCCCTATTGCCCGGGGGCCCCATAAGTTGACAGTCCGCCCCTGCCATCAACATAAGCACTAAGAGTCCCTTCCTAGATTGTAAGCTCCAAGGAGCAGGGTCTTGTCTCCAGTTATATTGTAAAGCGCTTAGCAAACTGTTGGAGCTATATAAATCCTGTATAATAATAATATTGATTGAAAGTAGTGATGGGCTGAACACCCCCGTGTTCAGTTTGAGGTCGAGCATTCAAACCAAATGAATGTTTGACCGCGAACTTCGAACTCAGTGTAAGTCTATGGGACTCGAAGTTGTAAATTCAAAAAGTGCCCATTTTGAAGGCCTATATGCAAGTTATTGACCATAATAGGGGTATGGAGACTCAAGTACCATTTTTTAAAGGGGCAGTCACTTTTCATTGTTTAAAGTAAAAAAAAACAATTCCTTTAAATATCATGCCTAGGGTGTACCCTTAAACTACCTGCAAAGTTGTACATCTGTACACTGTATAGAATAATGACATGTTTATAGAAATTATTTTTTATATAAAATAACATTTTTATAACAAAAAAAAAAAAAAAAACAGCATGAGGTCTCTCCTTAATCCCTTTAGGTCTGGTAGGAAGGACCCCAGAGTAAAAAAAAAGTGCATGGGGTCCCCCTTAAATTCCTACCAGACCCTTGATCTGAGCACAAGCCTGGCAGGACAGGAAAGAGGGAGGCCATCATGCGCCCAACCTCTCTATGGCTTACCAGACCACGTGCCCTTGGCACTGGGATGGTGTTTCCATGCCAGTGGGGACAAGGGCCACTTCCTCACAACTCTGGCCCAGTGGTTTGCGGGCAGAGGGGCTCATTAGAATCAGGGTACCCCTTTAAATAAGGGGGCACCCTGATGCTGCCCTCCCTTGTGAATGAGTACCCCTATTAATTCACTAAAGGGTTAAATTTAGTAAAAATAAAGATACCAGACCTTTGAAAAAAATCCTTTACTTGAAACAAAAAAAAAACAAACAGTTTTTGACACACGGTGACACACCCAGTTTAAAATGGCAATTAAAAGTTAATTTCCCACATCTGTGGCTTTTTCAATTGCAGTTAGTGTCTGTGTATAAATAGCCAATGAGTTTGATGGCTCTCATGTGGATGCAGTGAGCAAGCTAGTTACTGAGCCATGAGGAGCAGAAAATAACTCTCAAAAGACCTGTGTAACAAGGTAATGGAACTTTAACAGTAATGGAAAACAAAAAAATTTTTTTATCCAAAGCCTTGAATATGGAAACATAAAAACATAGAGAAGTGATGGCAGAAAAAGACCAAGTGGTCCATAAAGTCTGCCATTTTTTTTTTGGCAGTCAGTACTGTTTAATCACTTATTAAGAAATGGACGATTCAGGGATCTCTTGGTATCAAGCCAAGGTCAGGTAAACCAAAAAAGACTGCAGCCACAACTGGCAGAAGAATTCTTTGGAATATAAAGAAAATCCTGCAGGTAACCTCAGGAGAAATACAGGCTGCCTTGGGAAAAGACAGTGAGGTTGTTTCAAGGAGCACAGTACAATGATACAAAAAAGCCAGGTGAGACATGTGAAGGTGTTGTCGGACATATTGTAACCGGGTTTTTGAGCACAACTATGTATATATAAATATATATATATATATATATATATATATACAGTATATATATATATACACACATACTGTGTATATATATATATATAGTATATACAGTATATGTATATTCAAAAGCTGCTAAAAACATAGCATCCTGCATCTTTATTTTCAGAGTATACAAGCTAACCTGTGCATATATCTTTCAATTTTTAGGTCACTGAAATATATGTTCTTGCTATGGTGCATGCATCACTTCAATGCCTGACTTCCCCGTTAATCAGACAATGAAGTCTCACAGAATAAAAAAAACAACATTTAAGTCATATAATTTATTGACTGACAAATGCAGACGATGTTTGCATGTAAAAGAGAGGACTATATATTAATTGGTATAGTGTCATAAATAAAAGGTGACAACCACAACCAGGTGATAATAAATGCCACCAAATGGGGTGTTATTCTTTTAGACAGTGAGAGTGCAAGCAAAATCACTTTATCTGATTTTCTTTTTCTAGGCAGCCTCTTGCCCCTTTTGCTGCTACTGATTTAAGTGGTTCTTCAGTGATTTCTTTAAAAATGAAAAGTCAGCAGCTACAAACACTGTAGCTGCTGACTTTTAATAAACAATCACTCACTTGCCATTTTCTTCAATGTTCTTCAGGTCCCTGCTGCTGGCATCTTAACTGTGGGCAGCCAGCTGTGACTGTTACAGCCGGCTGCACACTGCACGTGCACGAGCAATGCTGTGTGAATGGTCCTGTAGTCTTCTGGGACCTGTGACGTGTCTTAAAGGACTGTAGGCAGGGAGGGGAAATTCCTCTTGGATTGTCTAGGCGATCTAAGAAGCGGATACCTGTCAAAAGTAGGTACCCGCTCCCTGGAAAAAATGTTGCATGAGGAAGAGCGGAACATCTTCTTTTGGGTGAAGTACCGCTTTAAGGTATATGTGCCAAATAAAAAATGCATCACCCTCCAGGCCCACTAACTTCTCTGCTGGTGCTATCACTACAGCTGCGCACTAATAAACAACTAATTAGAAAAAAAAAATTTTTTTAATTTGTTGGATTTCATGCTAATTGCACACCTAAGATGCACAGGAAAAAAAAACACGCATTCATAACCATGAGCGTCTTTCATGCTCAGAGATTTTCAGTACAACATCTAATGTAAGAAAGTTGAAAAAAAAACCACAATAATTTAGCAATGTTCCAAGCACAGTACACCTTCCAAAATAAAATATTGTGCAGCGCTAAAAAGATATCAATTATGCGATGAATATTGTCCTGGTGTGCATAAAATGGGAGAACCAGGGGGTAAAAGTTCAAATAACTTGTTAAATCAACTCTGCATATGAATTAACTCCACATATAAATTGATTAAATCCACATGTAAATGAATATGGCCAAGGCCCAGGTGACTTGATTATTCCCAGTTGTACAAAATTCAAAATAGTCTTGTGAGGTGCGGGAAACAGATAAAATGCGTACTCACCAGATGCACACAGTGTAGTATATTAACTGGAGGTCTGCCAGGAATCCCTCTTAAGGTGGTACCAGATGCAGCCCAAGAAAGGTGGATCTTGTCAGGGTTAAAAGATGGTGGTGAAACCGGAGGTCCCCTTTAAAGATGTAGCATAATGGATGCAGCCTCTTCCAGGCAATTAATACATTTGGACACTTAGTCTGCTCTTTCCTGAGCAGTTTTATTAGACGTATATTGTCCGAGTCCTTCCTCCTTGCCTCCTGCAGTCGGTTCACAGCACTGGAGTGATACAATTCTTTATGGCTTTCTCCCTGGAGAATATTCAATATTCATCGCATAATTGATATCTTTTTAACATTGCACAATATTTTATACATGTCTTTTAGAAGGTTTATGGTTCCTTTTTAGTGTACAGCTGCTTTTTTTACTAAGCGCTCGCTGAGTTTTTTACATATTACACCTTCCAATATGTTCATTTGTATACCAGATTTATGACTGCAGTTATAGTGCTCAGCATAAATGAGTACACCCCTTTTGGAAAGTAAGATTTTAATCAATATCTCAATGAACACAAGAACAATTTCCAACATTTTTACAAAACTGAGTTATATAGAACATTTGTTTAGCTCATTGCATGAAAGTAAGGTTCATAACATAACTTAGATTACAAAATCTTCAGGTTTACTCAAACTAGTTGATGCAAAAATGAATACACCCCATAACAAAAACTACTACATCTTGCCCCATTAGGGGGTTTCCGTTTGGTTTGAACCGGGAGCGCAGCTTTCCTTCTTCGGGACATGGGAGGCGGATGGTACGATGCAGTGTGGCAGGTTTGTGCAGGAACAGGGATTGCTTCCTTTGGGAAGTTTTACTCCATCTGGGCTACATGGATTCACTACACCTCTGGGTCCCCAGGTTCCTTGGGGATGTCGCAGCCTCCTCCTTCAGACCTTCCTGGTCCTGGGGAGTAGGAGATCAGGACCCCAGGGCACCTTGCTCTCCCGTAGCACCTTCATGTAAGCCCCTGACAGGGACGGACTGACAACTCATGGGGCCCCCGGGCAATAGGGGATCATTGGGCCCCTGTGTCCTTGCCCAAACTCAAAAAAGCCTATGAAAAAGGTACCAGGGGCATCTCATGGGGCCCCCTACTGACCCAGGGCCCTCGGGCAGTGCCCGAGTTTCCAAATGGTCAGTCCGCCCCTGGCCCCTGACTACCTGAAGCTATACGCCATTTAAATTTCAACCCTAGTGTGTCTGCGTTTGAGTCGGACCTGCGAGCTAGCCCCTGCGATAGATTCCTTACCTACCAGAGAGACCTATGGAAGTTTTGTATTTTCCCTCCCTTTTTATTATTGTAATTATTTTTGTTTTTTGTTTTGTCATGCTTACACTTTACTGCACAGTAACTGTAACTGCACTGCACTGTAATTTGAATCCCTGTTTTTCCTTGTTCTTGCTTCCTTATTTTTGTACATGAAAACTTTTGTTTGAAAATAAAGATTCCATTAAAAAAAACTCCTACATCTGGTATTTTGTATGACCTTCATGATTTGTAAGGACAGCACCAAGTCTTCTAGGCATGGAATGAACAAGTTGACGACATATTGCAACATCTATCTTTTTCCATTCTTCAAGAACTACCTCTTTTAGAGCTTGGATGCTGGATGGAGAGTGATGCTCAACTTGTCTCTTCAGAACTCCCCATAGGTATTCGATTGGGTTCAGATCAGTAGACATACTTGGCCACTGAATCACTTTCACTCTGTTCTTCAGAAATGCAACAGTGGCCTTAGATGTGTGTTTTGGATCATTGTCCTGTTGGAAAAGTGCACAACGACCAAGGGTACGGAGTGATGGTAGCATCTTCTCTTTCAATATAGAGCAGTACATCTGTGAATTCATAATACTATCAATGAAATGAATCTCCCCAACACCAGCAGCACTCATGCAGCCCTACGGAAGGGCTACCACCATGCTACCACCATGTTTCACTGTAGGCACCATGCATTTTCATTTGTACACCTCACCTTTGTGACACCATATAGTTTTCAAGCCATCAGTTCCAAAAAGAGTCCCAGTAGTCTTCTTTTTCAGCATGGGCTGTGGCAAATTCTAGGCAGGCTTTTTTGTGCATGGGCTTTAGGAGAGGCTTCCGTCATGGATGACACCCATGCATGCTATTCCTCTGCAGGATAGGTCGTATTGTGTCATGGAAAACAATAACCCCAGTTTGACTTTCTACTTCTTTAGCTAAGCAGTGCAGTGAATTTGCATGGCGATATTCTTCAACTCTTCTCATCAGAAGATGCTCTCTTCTAGGTGTTAACTTCTGTGGATGGCCTGGATGTCTCTGTGAGATGATTGCAGTTCCATCTTTGTTAAATTTTTGTAACACTTTTTCTACAGTATTCTGACTGATAAATAAGGCTTTTCTGATCTTCTTCTAGACTTCACCTTTCTTGTGTAAAGAAATTGTTTTCTTTCTCAGGCCTTGTGACATTTCTCTTCCATGTGGTGCCATTGCTGACAGCATGAAATGGGAGGGGTTTTCTTTGTTAAGTAATGCCCTTTTATAATCAACTGTCTGCTGGACACCTGTTTAATGAATAACTAGACTCACCTGTAGTTGAATTATTGTTAATTAGGATTTTGTTGTCTAAAATTTAGCTTTGCTCTTAAGACTTTCATTGGGGTGTATTCATTTTTGCAACATGGTCTTGAATGAATTTGTTAGGAAAATACTTTTTTGTTTGTGCAAATTAACAAATCTTGTTTGCAATCAATGGCTCGCATTTGTGGGGGAAAGGGAAAGGAAAAGTTTTCTGATAAATCTGTTAGGGTGTACTCTTTTATGCTGAGCACTGTATATATCCAATTATAAAATGTCCCTTTCAATGAGAACATTAATTAAAGAAAAATTAAAACCCTAATTTTCTTAAAGCACTTTAAGCAGCTGGTTTAATCATCTACTGAAAATGCAGCTTCCTCATTTTTAAATCCTTGCCTATGTTCTGGTTTAAGCTGGCGCCATGACTGCCACCCCAGTTTTCAATGTTTCAGGGTGGCTCCTTTCTTTTGCAGCAGCCTATGGAGTCACATTTTCATGCAGAGACTAGAGTTATGTCAACCTACACTGTGTGCATCAACTGAAACACACAGCCTGATTGCTTGGGATAGCACGTCACCCCCCTGCTCCTCCCTCCTTCTTCCCCTCCCTTCTCCGAACTAATAGATTGTAAAAACAGGAAGTTCTGGGAAGCACCACTAGGACCCTTTTCAGATGGGGCAGACCCATCAGCAGATCTGCTTGCCCAGTGGGGGATCTCTCCACTTATCCCCACTGAGCAAGCGTATGACAAGTCTGTGTCCGCTCAGCTCATGCAGAGCAGACACAGACACAGCTCACTCTTTTCTATGGGTTGGTTAGATGGGAAAGGATCGCCTATCCATTTCCATCCAACTGTCATCCAATCTGCCAGATGGATGGGGAACAACTCCCATACATTTGTTTTTTAGCGTACAGGATCGGATTAGATGCTGGCAGGTGTCAGCGGACACATGTCAGCTGACAGCCGTAGCTCCATAGAGAGCTATGGATAGTCCGATCGAGTCCGCCTGAAAAACTGACAGATTTACAGACTGGCCCAACCCTGTAACTTAAGTTTACTGTTAATTTTAAACATACGTTAATAATTTGAAAATGGTAAAAAAAAGCTACATACTTACTAGAAATACTAAAATATTCAGTCATTTGCAGCAAACATAAGTGAACATGTTTACATGGCAGCTGTGTTCTAAAAATGCCTTATGTGATGATTGTTCTGGTAAGTGACAGTTTGCTAAATGCAAATTAGAAGAGCATTCACGTTTTAAAGGCAACCACATTAGGGGAAATCCGGTCTCATAATACATTTTGTCTGAATGCTAGCAGTACTGAATTAACTCTGTATTTCTCACTTCAAGCTGAAACATTTATTCCACGGAAAAAGACTTTTGGTTGAGGCAATGTAAAAAGAAATCTTCATAAAGCCATGCCTAATTTTCCAAGGCTGTCTAGGAAAGATATACTGTGTTATTCAATCAAAAGGCTTAAAAGTTCAATCCAGGCAGATATAGAAAATACTAATTAATGTAGTTATTTAAAAAAATAATTGACTTTATTTGTAAATATCATTAGTTTGCTGTATCTTAATTTGTCTTTTTATCCGCTCCCTTACTCCCAAGGAGTAACCCAATATTTATTTATTAGAGATACTTATAAAGCGCTATCAATTTACACAGTGCTTTACATGTGTGTCTGTGTGTGTATATATATATATATATATATATTGTACATTCACATCAGTCCTTAATCCTCAAGGAGCTTAAAATCTAAGGTACTTACCTCACATTTCTGCAGGTAGAGCAACCCACCGAAATGAATGTGCTGCCCTACTCGCAGCATGCAGAGATGTAAACTGGGTCCAAATGCTTCCTTACTTATGAAATATGCTTAAAGTGGTTGTAAAGGCACAAGGTTTTTAACCTTCATGCAGTCTTTGCATGAAGGTAAAAAACCTTCAGTGTGTAGCAGCCCCCCCAACCCCCCAAACTTACTTGAGCCCCATCCTGATCCAGTGATGTCCACGAGAGCCTCAGTTCTTCGGGGACTCTCACTCCTGATTGGTTGAGGCAGCAGTGGGAGCCATTGGCTGTCAGTTATAGCCAGTGACTCAATCAGGAGAGGGAAGGGCGGTGCCAAGCTGCGGCTGTGTGTGAATGGACACGCAGAGCCGCAGCTAGGAAGAGTGACTGCTTGGGTTCCCCCATAACAAGCGGCTTTCTGTGGGGGCACCTGACAGGAGGGAAGGGCTCAGAGCGCCAATGGGGGATCTGAGAAGAGGAGAATCCAAGCTGCTCTACCAAAATAGCCAGTGTCAGCTGGTGTTGGAGCTTAGAGAGAAATGTGACTTCACTCACTCCCTCCATTACCACCTTCACCATGTGACAACTCTAGCACTTGGCTTCTAGGCTTGAGCACAGCATCATAGCAGAAAATCACATGCTCCATCATACCCGGAAGAGCAAGATATTTTATGCCAGCTACAACAAAGGGAAGAGCACTGGAGAAGTGAGTATCAGAAGGTTGAAGGAGAAAGGGGGTTGGAAATGATTTTAATTGAATATTTATTATCCTAGCCTATCTGGTTCTAGTAGTGTGATCTGGGAAAGTGATAAATATTTGGTACACTCTTTCCAGAGTGTTCTTGGTTCCCGAGCTCTTTGCAACTCCCTCCCCATTGGCCTAACCTTTACACAGGCTATCCCCGCTTCATGAATTCTGCTGCTTGACTCATCCACCTTACCAACCACTCAGAATCCTCTATATGACTCAGCTCATGAGTGAATACATTTCAAAATACTAACATGAACATTCAAAGTAATTCACAATTTTTCCCCAAGGTACATCACTAGCCTCATCTCAAAATATCACCCAAAACATCCTCTTTGCTCTTTCCAAGAACTCCTGCTCTCTAGCTTTTTCATCACCTCCTCCCATACTCGCCTTCAGGATTTCTTCAGAGCCTGTCCCATCCTCTGGAACGCCCTAATCCAATCTGTCGGGTTATCTTTTACTTTGTCCACCTTTAGGCGATCTCTGAAATCCACCTTTCAGGGAAGCCTATCCTGCCTTCACCTAAAAAACTGTCCATTTAGTTTCTCCATACGCTCATCCCACACGGCTGTTTTTTCACTTGAAACCCTTTCGTTTCACTTGACCCTTTCCTTTAGATTGCAAGCTCTCATGAGCAGGGTTCTCTGAACCCTCTTGTTTTGAATTGTAGTTTACTGTATTTTCTCCTTTAATTTTGTAAAGTACAGCACAAGCTGTTGGATCTATATATCTCCTTTATAATATTATTAATAATAATAATAATAATAATAATATCAAGCTCCAGTTTTACTAACTTTTGGCCATCTACAAAAAAAAAGATGATTTTTTTTTTTAATTTGAGTTCAAAGTGTTTGAACCTACTTGTAGTCCATGTATTAATACATGATTCAGCACTGTTAGTATTCACAAATATCTCGTCTATAAAGCAGGGAAATTTTCTACATTTTGGAGCCTCCTCACACTTATATTTTATGTACTGACCTGCCATAACTTTATGACCACTGGCAGCTTAAGGGAATAACATTGATTATCTTGTTACAATGGCATCTAAAAGTCAGTGGATATGTTAGACAGCAAGT